ATATAAACAAGACATGTAACCTCCATATGTTCTATCTTGTACAACAACAAACCTGATGATACCATTGGACACAATGAAAAAAGCAAGATGACGAGATGTTTGTTTTGTCAAGATATGTTATGATGCCCTCCCTTCCTTCTTAAACTGGTTTTTTTTTTTTTTAAGATCAAAAAAAGTCTTATTCCAATTCAGTAACAAGTTTCCTCTATTGTTTATTATTCTGAGAAGGCATTAAGCAATAATTCTCGAAGATATAAGTCTTGTTTCAAGAAATAATTTCTTATAGGTATAAAACTTATTATAAGTACCTTGAACATTTTTGGTTAGCAATGGAATAGTGAAAATTAAATGGTTTGTCCAACTGCAAGTGGTGGTAAAGAATTTATCCTGATGGATTAAAGTTGATATTGGAGAGTTTTTATTTACTAGAACAAACCTTTCAATTATCTTGTTTATTTCTCTTTTTTTTTCTTATAAAATAAAAATTTTTTATCTCTTAGGATCACAAGTTCATGTTAAAGTGATAGTCTGAATATAAGCCAGCTAAGATCTTTTAAAGTATAATCTTTGATGCTTAGTTTTGAAAGGAAATAATTTCTATTATTTCTTATAATCACATCTAGAGAGTTTAGATTTAGAAAGTCCAAGATAGTTAATATCATACAGTAATAGCTTAATGAATCTATTTTCTTGTGGTGAGATAGTTAGTAAATAGTTAAATTATATGAGCAACATGATGGTCTTGGTATTAAGAATTCAAGAATCATATACAAATCTAAATTTATTAATAAGTGTTCTACAAAATTATGTTAGTTTAGCTTTAATATAATATTACATGTATTGTATTACTGTTCTCCTAATAAATTGAATTAATAAATGCTTCCATTTGTAGTCTAATTAGAGGCAAAAAAAAATATTGTTTTAAACTTTTTTTTAAATATTAGTTATATAGTTATTAAAAACAAGTTAATATTTAACTTATTATTAAAGATGGATTTTTAAATTGTTTAACATATAAAATTTCGCAAATCAATTCTATTCCTTTTGAAGAAGACATAACTATTTACTTATTATTTTAATAGAAACAAAACTTAAAAAATACTTGAATTCAGTGACCTAAATTACAAAATCTTTTGTAAATAGTTTTTTTTTTGTTATTCTATTTAAAAAATATACTTTTTTAATAACAAGAGATATTTGAGTTATGTTTTTGCTTTTGGTTTAGGGATTCATCTTTACTTATTATATTAATATATGAAAAATATTATTTCTTTTACAATAAACTGTATATTTTTTTTATTATAATCCTAAAAATTAAAATTAAACAGACTTGTATATACTTATATAAATTTGTATGAGATTTAAAATACTATTAAAAATAATAACAAGTTATAATCCACATATTAAAATTAATATAAACTTGAGAATCACAAATTGAATCAAATCAAATTATTAGAATCCTTACTTGTTATATATAAATCAAATAATTTACTTATAAAAAAAAAACAAATTTTGAATATTTTAAATTTTAATTATTTTAGTAAGATATATTGTAATTTGTAATATTATATACTTTAGTTATTATATTTTTAAAAATAAATTTATTTTTCTTATTCATATTATTTATTTGTACTATTTATTTATTTATATCTTATTTTTTTTAGATCAATATAATTTCTTTTGTATGGTTATAAAAAGTTGTAATAATTTTGATAAATTATTTTAAAGTAGAAAAGAACCTATTTCTTTTTACAACTTGTTTTTTAAAATAAAATAGAATTGCACATTGCAAAAAGTATAGAATAATTTATTTACAAGAGACTAGTTTATAATGAATATCTTTAATATTATTTGATAAAACAACATTAATTTCAGTTTTTAATCAAATTTTATTGAATATAATATTTTTAAAAGATTTCAATTAAAATATTTGATGTTTAATGATTTCTATTAGTGGTATGACTTTAAATTAAAAAAATTTTTTAAATAACCATTTATTTTATTTTTTTAATAGCATTATAATTATGATATATAATTTGTAAAAATTTTTTTAAAAAATATAAGTAGGTTTTGATCTATAATATTGAAAATAAAAAAAGTGTTTGCTCTATATACAGTTTACGCAATGCCATCAAACATTACTTTGAATGAATACAGTATGCATTGTATGATGAATATTGTACAAAGATGTTTTATGCAATATCATACATTTCATTTGGAGTAATTGCCAATTACTTGTAAGATAGATAGATATATATTTTGGGTTTGATTCTTTTATAAAATTTAAATTAACTTAATATACGCATTTCTTAAACAAGGATTCAAGAATAAGGCTCATTTAAAGAGAGCATGCATGTAATTATTTTTTGAATTCACTCGTAATTATAAAATTTTAAGTTATGCATTCAACCTACTTCGGGTGGGCTGAAGAAAGATATTAATGCCGACAATCATGATCAACTTGGTTCCAGACAAAGGCCTGTTTTCAAACCAGGTACTGGGCTGAGAAGTCATAAAAGAGGAATATCCACGTTGTTGTTTTCCCACCAAACTTTCATACATAAGTATAGTATTTCAAGTCATAGGGTATAATTGAATTAAGAGAAATTCTCATCATTACAGGCTTTATTATATACAGCACATTTGTACAAATGATAGAAAAAGCCTATATTTGAGTTATCTTCGGTTCTTTTTTAAACAAGTCCCTTGCACTGTGGAATTTTAGGTCTTTGTTAGCCCAAATCAGACAAGCTCATACAAGTGGGCGGTGGGAATCTTTAGCCATTCTCACCATGTATAGGACACGAGGGCAAAGGACAGGGAGCAGAATTTTGTATCATAATGATAGGAATGAAATTTCACTTAGGAAACGATGCTCCATTTGGAAGATATTGTGGTTTCTAATCTCAGAAAAATATCTTGAGTTTGCCGTGTTTTACCGAGACCATCTCATTGAATGAAAGTTTCTATAGTTGGCAACCCTTTGGGCTTAGCAATAAATCGAACCCAAACATTAAGATGGTCTTATTTTTCGTGTGGTTGTATACAATATATCCAAAGGCAGATGCCTCAAACCGTAACTGGCTCTAATCTCCAAGTTATTTGGCAATTTCGTGACGAAACCTATTCGCATTGTGGAGTCACGTTAAACTGTGATTTTAGTTTAGATTAGATTAGAATAATTAAATGACAAGGATGTCTCGATTGTGCGATGAATGTCATTCGAATAGTCGGTATTCGTACAAGTGATTCATCTTTTGATGGTCGTAAATGTAATAAATGATGACGAAGGGTTGGACAAGGCGATCGAAGTTGACACCAATGGAAGAATGCGGTACTTTATGAAATTTACGCCATACAGTATGAGAAACATCTAAATTATTATTGGAACACACGGATGTTGCGTGCAATGATGAAAGTATGCAACTTGGGTGAAAAAAGGTCATTTGATTAATTTCTTTATTATTGCAAGGGACTCGAGAAACCGGTGATGCATTTAAAAAAGCAAAGTCATCGAATGATCTCGCAGAAAAATCAGTTAGACAGGTGTCAGATATGTATAATGGATCACGTAAAATAATTATATTTAAAAACATTTAAAACACTGAATCTTTCAATACAATTAATTCGGAACTATCTTGTTCATAGAAAATTTGAAGATCGCAATGGACCAATCGCTCCTAAAGTTGAGTGCCGAGAAAAAAATATTCTTTTTCCCAAGAATACATTGGTCAAACGGAAGATCGCTTAAAACATAAATAGATAGATTCGAGAAATTTATTTACCATGTTGATACCGTATAACAACATTACATTAATTTACGAGTTTTGAATAATGCGACTTTTAAGCAACAATTCTATGGATTGATCAGACATGTCAAATAAGCTTCTCTATCTTGAAAGTTTATGCAACAATGCTGATTACCTTTACCCAGATTTTGTTTGTGAAATAAAGTACGGTGCATAATTTAATTTTAAGAAAGAATGTACGGGTGACCTATGGAACGGCTTTCTTTGATTGGATTTTCATTATCCCATAATGACTATCAAAAAAAAAAATCATTTCGTTGGTAATCATGTGTTTCGGAAAATCAATTGTTGATACTATCATCGAATGATTTCCAAATTAAGGATAAACCTGCACGTTTATTGATTGTGTATGTTGCCATGCGAACTTTCCTATATTCGATTTTTTTCTTGCGTCATTTCCGATCACCCGTCACCACGAAATAGCATGCAGGAGATGCCAAGCCAAAACGATAAGTCAACCGGTATTATGCCAAGAAAAGGCAAAGTTTTCTAAAAATAAATTGGAAATGAAAGGGTGATGTGGTGCGCGCTTTTTTGGTAGTATGGCAATGTTTTCACCCTCATAATTCTAATTTGGATAATGAACATATTGTCTAATGATTGGTATGATTCATTGTGTTAAACACCAACAAATGAACTAACGAATTTTCCAACATTTCATACACTCAATGGTGCATGTTGAGTTTTCGGAAATGCTGTGTTGATAACCGAAGGTGCGACATTCATGAACTAATTTCTGGGGTGCTTTGAAATTTCACAGGGCGGAATGCTTGCTCATCACGTGATCATAGTACATCGGTTACCACAATGCCCGTTGAAATACACGAAAATCTTGAAATTTAATCCAAACGATACACGAAGTAATTGAATTTAAATGCGTAAAGAATTAACACATTTGTTTTTTTTAAAAAAGTAAGATTTACAGTAATACAAGCAATTCTTGACTATTTGGCCTAACCGTGTGTCGTCATATATAATGAAATTAAGATACATTATGTAGAAATGTGATTATAAAGAAATTTGGTTTCCAGGAGATCTCGGGAATATCTTGAATTATAACATGCCTTTTCTTTTGACTCATCTTTATGTTCATATTTTAAATATTGATGTATACATCTCATAACTTTTTTTTTTAGATACGTAAAGAAAAAAAAAAAAAGCCAAAGAAATCCAATAAATGTCCTTTTGAGACTATAGTTCAAATGTCTCGGTGTGTACATGAAATAGGCAGGAGGTGTCGCTTTCCGACACGGCAGCATTTCTCACTTCATTCAACATGACTGCTGGTCCGCACACACCAACCGCTATATCACCCGAACCATGAAATTGTTTTATGTCCCTGAACACCAATTTGAAGTTGGGTCGACCTGCAAAGAACTCTGTTGATGGTGTCGATTTCGCCCTCGTGAAAAATATTTTGATATCAAGCAAATATTTTTCTTTGGGCAACGCCGAGGATTGCGCTATTATCTCTCGTATTTCTTCGGCAAACCATGAATGTGCAACTTATGGTGGTGACAAGCATTGTACAATGATCAGTAAACGACGACCCTTTTTACCATAAAAAAGAACATCCAATATTAAGCATGAAATAACAATTACCTTGATCTGGTATTATCCACATGAAGTGGATCTCCTGAGTGGCCACTGGCATGCTTGTAACTTGACGACTAACCAAGTCTCGCAGTATACTTATCATAGGAGTGATACCAATTCCACCGGCCACCAATAGAACGGTTCGATGGGCCTTGAAATCTATGCTTGGTTTCCCGTAAGGACCATCAATTCTCAGTTTCAATGGCGCCTCCGTTTTTTGTGAATTCGCATACAGAGTTCTGGTGAATCCACCCTGCGTTTTCACATGAATACTTGCATTATGTACACCTTTGTCTTTCGCGCTTGGCGCAGAGGAGTAAGAGAATGGATGCCATGCGATCAAGGAAACAGGTAACTTTAGCTGCGGTATGTTGACAAACATGTACTGACCGGCCTCATAATAAGTAGGATAGCGAAAGACGATACGAGTGACGCCGGATGTGATGGCTTCCATCGACACAACATCGATCTTATTGAGACCAACGAAGAATCTGATGAGGCGATCGATGACATAAAGTCCAACTCCGATGCCGGTGAATGAAAGGAATTCATCTTGATGCAGTGAGCCGAATATGACAAAGAAGATGAAGTTAAAGTGAGACCAATAGAACCATTCGAAGGCAAATCGACGAAATATCGAGTGGGACATGATCACAATGATGATCAGAAAAACGTAAGCAAGAAATCCCCATTTGTTCACATCACTTAGAGCAAGAAGATTATAGAGGGAACCGGTGTATTGCGATTGAATCTGGTAAGTGGCATGGAAGGTGAGCAAAAGGAAGATGGTCCTCCCTACCCATCGATGAAGAGTGATTATGCGTTCAAATGGAACACCGATGAGCGTGACAAAGATGGAATTCCTGGTGGCCAACGGGAAAACGAAGGCCGCGTTTGCCAACGCTATGTAGGCGCATCGAATGTTAAGTTGTTGCACCAAGCCAACGCCGCTTTGAAAAGGCAATAGCAAGAAAATAATATTTAATCCAATGAACAGGAAAAGACCAACTATTTCGCTAATCGTTTTATCAAAAAAGCCAATCACAGAATTCCAGAATTTGTGTAAAAACACCGTGAGAGCAAAATGGATGTCAGGTTTGTTCGCGGCCGGACGATCGGTTTTTCGATTAGGCAAATCCTCTACCTTGGGCCACCTCGTGCGGGAGATGTAAGTTCTGATTTGAGCAGTTTGATAGAATATCGAACCTGCGATGAGGCCTCCCACGGCTGTGCAAGCAAGGTAATAGCCGGCTAGAAAGTCAGAAGATTGAACGGACATTTTGTGAAGCTCGGAAACTTGATGAATAAAGAGGAGGAGACCGGCTCTCAATGGATTTTTTTTTTGTTTTTTTTGCTAAGAGATGCGGACGGGGAGATTCAACCAGTGAGATCTCTATTGCCAGTAATGTTCACAAAAAAAAAATCAGTATATAAATAATGGACCCTTATTCGTCGCCGACCAGTGAACCAAATTTCCTCTTTGCCCTTGACGCTGGGGGGAAGAAAAGGCAAAAAAGATATATACTGTATATATAATAACAATAATAATAACCCTATAAATTTCCTAAAGGATAATACTTACATTATATATAAATGGATATGTGACGTACGACAAATAAGATACGTATGTAATCGACCTAACCAATGGAATCAACTCTAAACGTATAAGGAGTGAAGGTCGTTTCAGAATTAATTATTATTAGCAAAGAAAGAGAGGCCAAAGAAGAAAGGAAGGAAACACACATTAATCAAATACGGCAATCAAGGAATTCTCCTGTGAAATAGGCTGGATGAGTGGTACCTCGGGTTTCAGTTTTTCAAACGGAGGGAGGTCGGTTTGTCACTTTACTTCCGTCGTTGTCGTAACGAATACGTGGATGAAAAAAAAAGAAAAAAAGAAAAAGTTAAATATGACTGAAGCGCTTTATAAGTATTTCTGTCAAAGGGGAAGGATGGGCAAATTACCGGGAGGTGAAACACGACATATATGTAATAGACGGAATGTATTGCATATAGATTGGGGTGTTAAAAAAATAAATATTTATTATAAGCAAATATTCAAAATACTCGTATAAGGCAAGAATTGACCTGTTGTAAATAACCATACCATGTATGGTAATAGCAGGGCTTGCGTTAAAAAGAGAGGTCACGGTCGTTGGACTATTGAACGGATCCGCATAATTTCCTGATCATTACACGATCGTGGCGAAATGGTTCAGGCTGTTCATCGATGACAATTTCTCCATCAGTCATCTGGTCCCTCAAAATCAGATAATATAATATCATCATGATTGATTCAGCTAAACTAAGTTTCTCCTTTTTCACACTTCATTCAAGGGATCACCCTGCTCAAACAAGGCTAGGAGGGCCCCATCCTTCTAGAAAAAAAAAAGCAAAGAAATTTCTAAAATCAACGGTACGCGTTGCTTCGCTCTCGATACCCACCGTCTTCCATTTCACCTCAAAGTTCAGTTGCGCCCATACATACGTGGCGAACCCGTCCGATAGATAATCGTTGATTTTTTATATATATTTTTTTATTCAAACATACTGTATGTCGTGTGACTTCATTGTCCATCAACATAAAATACCGCTTATCGGTATTGTAATTTGAAACCTTAATATAACGCATCTGTGCATAAAAGGACACTTAATAAAGAAAAGAGATATATAAGGTGACTTAGTAAACAAAGAAAAATTATAGTTGTTACATAAATTTGTTGATACATAACTGAACCAAATTTTTTTTCTCTTCACCCTCAAATGAAAAGTTGCCTCTTTTCTGTCGCCGCGAGCAAAGAAAAATTTACCGTAAAATATTTGTAGGAATTTTGTTGAAATTTTCACACATTCTCTCCTTTATATATATATACATACATATATACATTTCAAAGTCCTTTTGAATCGCCGGCGATTCTTCTCAAAAAGTCGATAAAGAAAAGTTCAATAGTCACACACACTTTTTGTATACTATAAGTGCAGAGAAAGCAAAATGCACATATTTGCAAGAATCGTCGTCTTCGCTCTTCTTCTCTCCATAACAATACCATATCTTGTACTATCTTATCCCAATGGAGCCGGCACTTGTGATGTAACCGCGATGAGTTCACAAGGTCATGGAGCTCCTCTTACGTCAGGTGCTGGAGGTTTCTCTCTTACACTCGTTAATAGCACCACCGCCTCTGGAAGCTACTCCATAACCGTCAAGGGGCCGAAATCCGTTAAAGGTTTATTATTATATACACAAGATTCCAAAGGCACCAGGACTGGTAACTTTGTGGTTCCAAGTAAATTTCAGTCAAAAAGTTGTTCTGGCACCGGAACAAATTCTCTTACACACAAAGATTCGAGTCAAAAGTCCTTGCCTCTAAGCTTCACATGGTCTCCCGAATCAGGTTCGGCCACAAACATTACCGCCAGAGCTATCGTAGTGGTAAGCTATTCCGATTGGTATCAGTTGAGTGACCTCACCTTTGATCCAAGTAGTGGGTCTGTCGATAGCAGTACTCCTTCAGATACCTCCAATACCGGTGATAGTAGTAGTGGTAGTAGTGACAGTGGAAGTGGTGGAAATACATTCTTCCAAAAGTATTCACTATTTATTATCGTGATAATTATTACCGCTGTTCTCTATATCTTTGGAAGTTTCATGGAGTTGGCATTGAAGAGGCAACAGGTCAAGGCGAGGACATTTGCAAAGACCGTCGGAGGGTTCGGTCAATAATCAAGTATGCATTCAAGGAAAATATATTTTTTCAATATGTTTTATCTAGGCAATCGATTTATTTATTTATTTTATAATTAGATTGCATGCTTGGTGATCGGGTGAGGAGAATGAGTAAATAAAATGTTAATGTCACTAATAAGGGAGAAAATGCATTTTTTCGTTTTTTATTTTTGACTTGGAGAAAAAAAGTTTCCAAATTTATCATAAATTCGTGTTAAAGAAAAAAAAAAAAGTCTGCGTGCTTTAATTTTATTATTTTTTTTTGTATCTATACAAAATATAACATGTTCACGTAGATATGGATTTTGTTTTTCAGAATGGGTGTGCCATAAATGATACGTTAAATGATTAATGACATTGCTCGTGTGTAAAATTAACGCCAAAGTTTACTTCGAGAACTGAAAAATTTTCTATTTTTCCACAAACTCGTGATAAAGTGAACCAGTAGCCTAGAAAGTTCTTGTTTCTATTAGCATACACACGTGCCCTTTGTTTTTTCCTTCGAATTTCTACGTAGAACCTGATTTTCTCAAATACTTATGCTTTATCCAATTTTAACATAATGCTATTTTAACGTTAATGATTAAGGTTATGCATATCTGTACAATTCCGGGTACATACAGCACGTTATCCAAGTTACAGTATCATATACTGTAAAGCACAGTACGTATATCCGATATCTATCATGTGTAACTTTGCAATTGCCAAATGACTCGCGAAAATACAAGGGGACTTTCGGAACGAGATTTGCGACGCCATATTTCCTGAATCGCGTAATGTTTTTTTTTTAAGTTTACCCGATTATTAATTGAATGTTTGCTGACTAATTAATTTCCTAAGCGTCCACGACCGTGTACGAACGATATTTACCTGTCAAGGAAGGAAAGTTGCAAAGTCATCAAACTGAGGAAAGGGTTAGTGCAGTCAACGAGAACACCATTGTGAAAATTTTATTATAAAAATATACTTTTGCCATATCTGATTAATCGATATTTAGGCCCTTTCTTATTTGCATGTTTGTTTTTTAATCAGTCAATGAACCTCGAAAAAAAAGGCAATATCTTCACGTGATACTTTAGGAAGAAAACAATATGAAGATGGTGTAAATTGTCTGTCATATGTAATTTTACGAGAAATCTTTTGTAGCCTCTGTGTGTAAATATAATTATGTAAAAAAAATGCAGAATCCTTTTTGAAAACAACCTCTCGATGTTGCATTTTTTTTTCCTGAAAACTATTAATAGATCAATTTAAATGTTTGCGCGTATTAAGAATCGTTACGTACGTAATCGATAAATAGAATCTCCCTCGCCTTTCATCACGTGGACGAACCATTTTGTCGCGTAAATAAAGGACGTCGAATCTTGATGTTCACATTGCGAATTTTGGATAATGACTGATCATCTCTTAAATGGATCATGGAGTGTTTCCTCGTTCTGTCCTCAGCATCTTTCCATCTACATCTTTCACAGAATACGCCTGGGAGCACCTTGTTTTGGTCTATTACAAGGTAATTGAACTGTGTTTATTTTCATCAAGCGAAAAAACATTATATTTGATATCATTTATTATTGATCAATTAAAAAGATTTATAATTAATTGGTCTCCATCTTTTATAAAATTTAAAGTTTGATAGATGATGATTAGATCGAAAGAAAAAAAAGAAAACAAGGAAGAAAAATGATGTTTTGGATTATCGTTTTTTTTTTATAAGTACTGGTGTTATGCTCTTTGAGAAGAACAATTCGAAAATATATACAGTATATATATATAAAGAAATTATTTAAAATATGTTCAAAAGCTTTCTTGTCATTGTCACCTTGGTTACGCTTTTCGTATTCGGAGCTTATTCTCATGACAAAACTCCTGACATAACTGCTCATGAAGAAACACCCGGTCGTGTCGCCCACGCCGTCTTTACTGATTGTTCTTGCTGCAAACATGGAAAAGGGGACGCGGATCATTATCAAGAACACGAGTACCCGCCTTGCAAAGATCTCACTGGTGAAGTTCAATTCGTTGAAATGGGAATAGAAAAACCAAGTACCAGACTTATCGGTCAATTCAACACTGGATTCTTGGCAGATGATAAAGATTACTATTACCAGGTTGATGGTTATCCAAAAGAACCTTTGTCTTTTGCGAAGGTTTCTCCGCCGGGTACAGCTCCTTTCCAAGTCGATTTAGCAATCGGATTCGACCATTTTGCCGGGAACTATTTGAAGATTTTCCATGGTAATGAGACAATTGGAAGAACAAAGATTATCGAAATCAAGCCGCGTTACTAATTTTTACGAACACAACGATGTGCAAAATTTTTAGGTGATGATATTATTGGAAAGATTTTTATTGCCTGAATTTCTACTTCCATCATAGATAATGTATATATATTACGATTTTCAAGTATCTACGCGCAAACATAATCCTTTCTTGCGCTTTTTTTCTTCCCTGTAAATTTCTGTAATTATCATATAGATTTGTTAGAAAAAAATGTGAAATTGTAAAAAGGTTTTTGAAGCACGGTAAATAAATTGTTAAGTAAACTGCGTACGCAGTTAATTCTTTAAAAAAATTAATATCAATCGCGAGTCACGCAAACAGTATTGATGACGAACCATCTCAAATACAGTATACTGAAAATAATGGCAATGATAGAAATTGAAAGAATTTCAAATTTAATATTACATGTATAAATGACTGTTGGAAATGCTAATACTAATAATAATAAGATAAATTTACAGTGTATCAAATTTTCAAGTGAAATAAATGAATGAATCTCAGTAATTTTAATAAAACTTATAAAGGAATAAAGAAATATTGTTTTTACAAAAGTATTCTTAAATATATCATGTTTATTTAATATTGAAACAATTCATCTCAAATAAAAATATTCGGAATTTAATTTTTTCTTATCTATTTATTTTATAAAAAAAATCCAATTTCTTTGAGAATTTTGCGATATTTAATATTAAATTCAAAATCATTTTTCTATTAATATAACAAATTCTTTAAAAACCAGTTCAAACAACTTAAAAAAATATTATTATATCTTTTTACTTTTAACTTTCTATATCCAGGTCATCAAAACCATTAAACTTGAAATATTATTATTCATTTTTATGGAATTATCTAAAGATTTTTGCATATTATTTTTATTTTTTATTTTCATTTAACTATATTATTTATTTATTAATTAATTAATTAATAATAATAGTAACTTTATATAAAAAATAATCATTCTTTGTTTTTAATAAAATTTATAATTATAAAATTATCTTGTTTATATTATTATAAAGAAAAAGTGATGGGTAAATAAAGGAAAATTACAAAAGCAATATAATAAATATAATAAATATAATAGATATATTAATATAATATGTTGTTATATGTTGTTTCTACTTTAGAAGATATAAACAAGAAACTAATAGCAAAAAAATATTAAATTGAAAAGATTTGTGTAATACTGTATATTAAAATTTCTAAGGATATATAAAATTAATAAAATTAAATAACAAAGATAATAATAATTTAGTTTATATTTGAAAGCTTTTTTAAGATCAAAAAGATTTATTGAATTAAAAACTTTGAAGATATTAAAAAAAGCCATTTAAATTTTCTTACTATTATTATTAATGATATTAATATTTGAAATAATAATATAAATATATTTAGTAGTGCTTTGATTTTTTAAATTCATAAAATTAAAGTTTAATAAAATTTTATATTTTATTATAATATACAATATTGGTTATTAATAATTTTTATAAATATTTTTTTACTAATTACTATTATAAAAATTAAATAGGTATTTATAAGATTAAAAAAAAATTTTTAAAAATAGAACAGCAACAAATGACTTTTAAAATTTTGAAATAAATAAATAATTATTTTCTTTAAAAAAATAAAAAGATTAAAAAGAATATAGTTTTAAAATTGTATTTAATTATATAAGATTCAAAATATTATTAAAAAATTATAATAAATCTATTTTATTTATTAAATTTAATATAAATTTAAAAATCAAATACAGAATTAAAAGAATTGTTAAAAAAGAATTTTAAGTTGTTTAGAGTTATTTTAAATACAGGTTTAAATTTAATTTAGAATTTTTAATTATTGTATTTGTAATTTTTATAAATATTTTACAAAAATATTTTATTGAATTTAATAATTTTTCTTTTAAGCTTTTGAGATATAAAAATTTATTTATAATTTTTTTATAAACTTTAATTTTAATAAATGAAAATTTAATAAATAAAATATTGTTTTGATAGTTAATAATTGTTTTTTTGATAATTTTAATAATATTTTTATATAGTTTTAAAAGATCAGTTGTCTTTATAAAAATTATTTATTTATCTTTTTTGAAATATTATTATTTATGTCTTTTGAAACTATATTAGTTAATTTTTTTAGACCTGTGAGTCTATAGTATAGTAGTTAACACTTCACAGGTCAAATTACAAGATACTAGTTCAATCCTATATGAGAGTGATTGAATAGAATTAATATAATATCTGGTGCCATAACCTGTTAAAAGTGCTGTTTCTCATGAGAAGCCATTTCATATGCTGATCCAATAAGTGTTGAGATTGTGATTTTCAGAAAAGGTGTTGTGGTTCAGTTGGTGTTACAATGATCACCGGAAGTTGCAAGATATATGAGATGTTCATCTTCAACAAGCAGGTTTGGTGATCGCTTCCCTAATATCTAATGTCTTTCCACAGATCCCTGCCCTAGTCTTATCCCAATTCAGTAATAAACCAGTCTAGTGGTGCTTATCCTGAGAAGGCATCTGGCAGTAAGACCTGTTCCATGCAAGAGTACTGTAAGTTGCTGTTCAGGCAGTAAGAACCAATTATAAGTCTACCTTGAACATTTTTGAGTATTATTTAGGCAAGTAAGAAATTAAATGGTTAGTCCAGCTGCAGATGGTGGTAAAGGGATTTATTCCTAATGGAGCAAGCAGAGGTCATGTGGCTTTATTCACCATATAAAAGAATATTACCTCCAGTGTATCCCTTCCTTTTATCTTAATTCTTCTCCAATAAATAAAGCAGTTACCAGTGACTCAACAAAACAAGCAGACTTTGGCATGTTTATATCAACCTCTATCTATTAGGAAAAGTTGATAGCAACAACCGATATGTGGAGAGATTTCCATATAGTTTAGCATACATAAAGATAAATTAATATTATAGTATAGTTCTATATAGTAATATGTATGAATATATGTATTGCTGACGTCTCTCTCGACGAGTCTGTTGCTAATCTTGGATCAGAAATCGCGTAATGATGGCGTCAGGTAAGTCTTTTTAGGTTCCTTCTCTATTCGAGGTGTGTGGTTTAACATGGCCAGTCTCTTTTTACTAATACAACTTTTTCTTCTTGTTCTGTCATCGCACTTATTGGACAAACTCTCCACTTTTCCCTTTCATGGTTCTGGTCGTCCCTCTCACTTCGCAATGAGTACTGGATTAGGTAAGTTAATTAGGGGGTTATCCGTGTTTAGCAACGACAATCGCACGTCTTAATTAGAAAGATTTTATTTTAAAGAATGGTTTCGTTTATTAACTGGTT